TTAATGTACTTTATTATGGGAAAACAAATTTCGGACTTTATTTTGTCTTAACGGTGAAAATGGCTATCAAATGCTATTTTTACGTGAAAATTCTCGATTTTATATTTTACATTTTTTACTTTAAAATGCTATAACTTTTAAAAAAATGTATGGGTCAATATAATTTTTTCATAAGAAGTAGTATTTATATACATCTTTCATTCGGCATACTTTATCTTAATCAGGATATAAATAAGGAAATAGCATATCATGCAGCTTTTGGAATAATCCACAAATTTTTTAAAATTAAACACTATCTAAAAATTTGCATCGAAGCGTTTTTTATGATAGTGATTATAATCACTGTCAAATATCATTGTACTTAATCTATCTATGCCACGTCACCACTGTGCCGCGCCCCTCTGTACTAGGTTTTATAAGTTAATTCAGACAAAAGATATATGAACAACGAACTAAAAATAAAATAGCAAAATGAATTGACCTTAAGAAAAAATGAACATGATAATCTAAAAATAAAGTTAAAATTACTAAAATATTTTAAAAAATTGAGATATCTATTATATTAGCCATGTTTATGATGTTGCATGGATATAACATAAAATAATTTGAATATCTTTAACCAAATTGAAAATAACAAAACAGTTTGTAATTTTTACTTTTAGTTTAGAAAGGATTTCTATAAGACAATAATATATGTAACTTTAATAATATTACTATCTAAGATATTTTAAAATATTTGAGAATATAATTAAGAAGTACTGTATAAAATTCATTTATTTTCAATTAAAATATATTTAGTAATCTGATCCTTTAATTTAAGACCGTCTTTCCGATACATTGAAGTCTACAAATATAATCCTTTATTAACTACCATAATCATAATAGTTGGAAAATTGTTCTGAAATAGTTTGCATTGTACATGTTTCCAAATAATGACCATTGCGTAGTTATTAAATTTTTTCTAATAATTATTGTATTGAATAATTTTTTTTAAATATAACACAGTATATTTGTATTGATCATGAAATACACGTAAATTTTTTTTAAAAAAAGGAATGAATTAATATTTTAAATGCTTTAAGCTAATTTATGCTATTCTTTTAGTATGTCTATATATTTTTAAATATTTAAACTTTGTCAATGTCACGGGTATTCGCGTGATCGTTTCACTAAAATTGAGAAAAACGAATTATAGATTCTCTACGAAGTATGCCAAGGTTGTGAAAAATAGTCTTTTGATAGATGTTCATTCAAAATCACATGGACAAAATTCGTTGGATTTATACTTACACACCGTTCATTTATATTGCAAGGGATAGCTTAAGTCTTCTGTACATTCTAAAGGGTATGACACGTAAGACAGCTTGCTTGTGGTTAAATAAAATGAAAATAAAATCCAGGGTACGGATCACAGTCACGTACTAGGGGTAGAAATAGTGGCAGTGGTTCTGTACATAATACATTATTAAGTAAACCTTGTAAAACCCTTCTCTGGTTTAAAACATAATTAAATATTAAATAAATATACAAACAAATTCGGATTATCAATTACTCTTCGAATAGTACGACTATTAACCGAATATGTATGTTCGAAACTTACATATAAATGTAAATAAAAATAACAATAAATCGATGGTACTCTAAGGTACTTTTATTCGAAAACTTATAAGAAATTTTACAGAATTATAAGTTTTATAAACTTGAAAATAGTTTATTTATCCAAATAACGTTATCTAATAGAAATCATACATAAATTATGTTGTATTAGTGAAAAATGATAAACCTAAATCGTTCAACTGATCTTTAAAAACATATTGAAAACACTACAGAAACATATAGTGAGGCTTATTACTTTTATAACACATGTGCTAAACGTGTGTAACGCAAAATGGTCTGACAGACAAATTAGTTTTAAAATGTTGATCCCAGGTGTTTGGCCCATACAATACTCATCATACAAGTATATACATATTTACATAATTTCTGCGTGTAAGTGCTCACCTCCCTATCCCAAAATTGTTTTGTTATTCGACCAATGAGTCGAATGACAACCTTTTAACGTTCCACTCATTCAGTACGCAGTTTGATATAAAGCAACACTCAATTTATTATTAATAATTATTGTTTGTTTGCCATTGTTATATTTTAACATTGTTGCATAGTAAGTATTTTTAAGGTCCCGCTAGCCACTAGGGCCAATCAATTATACATTTAAAATTCTTAAAACAAACAAAATTATTTGTGACTGAATAGCATTCCTAAATATACATATTTCATGGTAAATTAATTATTCAATTAAAGTAACTTGGAGTAAAAATAGCGCACTTTTTTTTATGACATATAGCTTGTAGTATATGATGTAAACAAGATTTTTTTTAACTAAATAACTACCAAGATTTACAAAATCATAAATAGTGAAATTTAAACTTTATTTAACGAGTAATTTAGTGAAATAAAATTATAAGTATAATAAACCAGTTAGTATTGAATAACGAGTAGATTAATAATTAAATAATTTTTTAACCAAATTTATTTACATGAAATAATAAAATAATGACAAACTTTAATGTAATAAGTAATTTTGCAATGCAATATCATAATACTTAATTAAAATGTGAAAAAAGAGCTAGTCATTTAGGAATACATTTTTCAATCAATATGACAATTTAAAAAAATTAGTAGTAAATATTAATAGATTTATTATTCAAATTTAATAAAATAATTTATAAACATCATTTATTTGAAAATTTATTCTCTTAGAGCTACGCTAGACTTTTATCCCAAATCAAAATTTTTTCCTTTTAATTTCATTCCAAAAATTATGTGCGAAAATTAAAGTATGTCATTATTTAATATTGTTTAATGAAAATATTTTATATCCAACCAAAAAAATTACAAGTCTTATAAACATTTTTTATATACTTAAAATAATATTTTTAAAGATAAAAAATGATAACAAATAAAATAAATGAAAAAGTATAACATAAACGTATAAAAAATTTACATAATCTCTAAAACATATTCAATTTTAGTGCAATAATTTTGTAACTTCTAAAAAGATATGATTTGATATTAATCAATCATTTCATTATTTATTTCAAAAATGGATTCTTGGTCCAGTTTACTCTAAATGAAAATATTTAGTTACTAAATTTAGATTTAAATAAGCATTTGAACTAACAACTCCTTGATGAAATAGGGTTTTTCAATAGTTAAAACAAACAAAGAGAGGTTAAAAAAACAATCTATAATGTTAAAAGTTTATTTTTTAAATTAAATTTTGCCAGTTATACATTTATTTGAAATAAGAATATAGCTTTCAATAACCTTTGTAGTTTAAGTAATATTAATTTTTTTTTAGATAATCATTTGAGTTATACATGAAATTTAATCATTTTTATAGTTATTATTATAATTTTATTAATAATTCGTTAGATATTATCATTATAATTACTTATTCATTATAAAATAATGCTAACATAGAAATGTTTAATTAACCGAAATTAAACTTTTGGAGATACGCAGCATTATTCAGCAAAAATTCACATTGATTATATTTTATAAATAATTACAGTAATGGATACTTTTAACGTTCAAAAAGTATAAAAAATTTTATTAAATACTTTTCTAAAATATGATACATTTTACTTGAAATCAAAGGCCTTTCAAAACTTGAAAATTCTATGTACGAAATAATTGAGTTTAAGATAAAATTTATAAATTATTAAAAAGTAAAAATTAATAACTTAATTTCTTTTAGTAGTATAACTAATTGTTTATTGTTATTTCAACGATTTTCATTCTGTTTTAAAAACTAATTTTTATCCGCGTACGTTTTAACAAATAAAATATTTAAATCTCATCAAAAATGCTTTTTTTATAAATGTGTATAAAAAATAAAAACTCATATTATTTTTAGATTTAATGAAAAATAGGGTACTATTGAGTGCTCTCATAATTGAAAAATTAAACGGACAGTCTTCTGATAATTTTATAGAAAACAATATTTACTTACAAAAATGTTTTTTTTTCGATTGTTCTGATTTAATATTACCTATTTAGCGTTTTCTACTTGATAAAATATTATTACCCGGTAATGAAAGCTTCAGGTTTAAACAACACAAAATTATTTTAACCGATTTGACGACGCAAAAATGTGCAACTTAGGCGTTTCTACTTACACGGCGCGTTTCAGACCGTTAATTCAACACAACTAAAGAGAAATCCATCTCTGATACGGCTTGCCGTGTAACAGGTAGCAAAGCTTCCCCGCCGCGCTCCACCAACTCAAACCGTGCCCTCCCCACCATGTCACTACCCTGTGTCGAACGAATACGGCCGCGCTTACTCTTTACTCTAGATTTTATGCTCGTCACATGTACAAATACACACCATACAAGAAAAACAACATTGCTACACACAAGTAATATTGACTCTTCATATGTTTATTGTGTTGGGGTCGAAAAAATAGTTTGGTCATTTTCTACCAAAGACTATCAAGAAAGAGTGAACATTTTAAATAATAATAATCGCGAGTTGATTGTTAATACAATTAGAATAACCCTCTAAATTTATTGTATAAAAAAAAGTTACTGTTGTCTCTTTTTCAAATCTCCATGTTTTTAATTACACAATTGTGTGTGTCGATTAGAAGTGTCTCTTGACAACAAATATCGCGACTTGCAAGACAATTTTCTTAATATTAATGAAACATTGATGAGATATTTTCCTGTTAGTTTTTTACTTGGGTCATGCATCTACTATATTGAATAATAGTATTATTTGTTGATCCTATTCACGTGTTAGCCACGCACAGCTGTGTAACTTTTTGTTGCATAACTTTTATTCAGGTAAATTATGTGGTACAAGTCAGCCAATTGGTATGAGTAAGTTCTATGTATACACTTTAAAAACCCACCAATCGATATTCTCAAAGAAGTTCCTATCATCTAAAAAATAAAGAATTCTCGGATTAGTATTATATAAAAGTTAATATTATAAAATTATGATCAACTTGTTACTTTTAGTCCACTTGTTTTGAATTTTAAAACTATTTACATAATTAATAACCAAAATACCACTTGAGTTGCCAAAATATAGATTTTCTTATAATAACAAGTACGTTTTTTTTTAATAAACGAAATTAATATGAAGCTTTAAAGATGTTAATTTAATCATGATTTGAAAATCATGGTTAACAAAAAAATGGTGTTGTTTTCGTGTCTGTTATCATTTTTCAAAATATATTTAGTACGAATATTACTCTCGAAATTCAAAAAAACCTTTTCAATTTTTTTACTTAGAAAAATATACCAAAAAAAATCAGTCGTTGAAAAGGGAAAATTACATTTTTTTTCAATTTAAAATTACCATAACTTTTGGTTGAGATGTAATGCTGAGCAAGTTTTGTATTAACCATGATGTGTTTTATTTGTGTTTGTCTAAAAGAAAAATTCAGCATTCTTAAACCTATTTTCATGATTTATTGGACAAAGAAAAAACCCAAATTTATTCTAGTTGAGCTTATTGTCTTCAAAATTTGAAAAATTCTCTAATTTCAGAAATATTACGAAATTGGACAGTTATTAATAATGCTGAATTATAATATTTTTTCTGCACTTTATAACAGTAATAACTTTTTAATAAAAATTAGACTTAAATAAAATTTTTATTAGTTTTACAAAAGATATATATTAATCTTTTGATTTTTTGGAAATCCAATTGAAAACCTAAGCATAAAATTTATTTGTACGTACGCTTATCATTTATTTTTTTCAATTTTTGATGTTTCAAAAATATTTATTTTTTTTAAATATATATAATAGTTCAACACAATTATGAGTTAAATATCTTATAGTCTACTTCACAAAAATTATCGACTACCACACTTTGTCGTGTCTTGTACCTAATAATTATAAATAATATTACGAGTACAAATGTAACTTCTTTTTAAACATCAGTTTTTGATTTATTTATTGATTATGAATTAACTACGCATTATACCGTCTCACAATGAAGAGATTTTACTAGTTTTTAAAAATTAAATATACCAGCAAAAACATACGAGTAGAAATGACGAACTTATGGCTATTTTCTAAAAGATATATGTAATTCTACTCGTTTAACGGGAAATAATTTTTAACAAATAATTATTTATAAAGAAAATGTACGCCTTACTCATCTAACTAACTAGATTGATATTAATATGCTAGAAACAGTCAACAGAATTAGAGAAAGGTCCAGTAGCCTACACTTTAGTTACTTTAATAAATTGCAGTAAACATTTTTTGATTTTAATAAAAATCAAACATCAATAGGTAAACTATCAATGTATTTTTTGTAGTGTAGGCCAAATATCATGATACACCTTAATGATGTTGACTAAAAAAATTGTCCAAATATAATGGACTTTTCGAGTGTATATATGAGAATAGTAGACAATTAGAACATGTTACAATTAAAGATTTTTAGTTATATTACAAGATTAAAAAATAAATGTGTTCTTCGTAACTATTTTAAAGCATGTAATCTGCCACTAAATTCAAAAACTAATATTTTTTTTAATAAGCTTAAACCAAATTTCTATAGTTAATATTATAGTTACTTTCTAACAATATACTTTTTAAAAAACCCAATGATTAATAAAATTTAAAATTAAATTCAAAAATTTTCATTATTTCCAATTTAAATAAAAATTTTAAATATGTTTTTAGTTTTAAAAGTGATCAACTTTTATCAATGGCGTAACCAGAATTTCATAATTGGGAGCCATAGTAAAAAAATCTACAAAATTTCTTATTTTGAACATTTTTTACCATTTTGCTCGTCATTTTATTTTAGAAATGAATATTACTGTCAAAAAGGGAGCCTTGGCTATGTCACTGATTTTTATTATATAATTTAAGCTTATAATAAAATTATAAAACCAATCTCAAGTTCAGCAAGTTCAAAAACGAAAGCAGCCGATCGTTTCGAACAATGGGAACAACAAATATCCTTCTCCTTATTCATTAATTACCATTTATAACTTAAATTACTTCTAAGATATTTAAAAATTTACTACATATTATGATTTGAGTAGTAAAACAAACGTTTAAATATTTATTTTTATTGCTTTGGTTACAATAAAAATGTTACTTAAATAATTCAATTAAATTTTTTTTTAATTTAATTAATTTTGTATTCCTGAATAAATATTAAAAACATGAGTTCTGAAATTCCTGGACAGTTGTTAAAAGTAAGTTAATATTTTTAAAATTTATTTATTTAATACTAACGCAATGCAGAAGGGCAAAAAGTACAATAAAATACATATTTAAAAAAAATTCAATTAGTTTAGATACAACAAAGAATACAAATTTTACAAATATTATTAAATACTATACATTTTAAACACAAAATTTTAATGTGTGGCGATATTTAAAAAGCACTCATTTAAATTATCACAAAACTTAATATACGATTCATTAGGCTATTTTTAGTTTGTTTCAAAAAGAAATATATTTTGATACCGTGTATTTACATAATTGGTTTCTTTAATAATTATTTGATTAGTGGTCATAATATTATTGAAATTAACTTAACGGAAATTAAAGTTACATAAAGTTAACTAGTACAATATCCATGTGTTATAAAAATTAACGAAATTGAAAAGGTTAGAACAAATATTTTTATTTTTTTTTTTATATTACGATTGAAAAATATACATTGTGATCATATTTCAAGCTACAAAACATACTAATATTTACTTGTTTTCTATTACAACATGTTTATGCATATTTTATAGAAAATTAAGCAAAATTATATTTTTGTGTTCACAATCAATGCAGACATTTTTATGTAAATAATGAAATATTTTCAACAAATCAAAAAATAATCAATTAGACCAAACATTGTGCAAATTTATTTCTAAAAAATTTTTTGTTATTCGGTCTGTGAATCAAAATAATTTTAGATTATGTTAAATTTTCTTATATATATATAGTAAATTAGTTCATCTATATCAAATTTAATTTTACTAGATTATGAAAAAACGATTACAGTTATCAAAAATATTATGAGACTATAAACTTTGAAACTTTTATTGAACTTAAAATTTAAAAAGTATAAAAATTGAAATTAACTTTAATAATATATATATATTAGTTCATTTTGATTTTTTAACATTATAAGATTAAATTATATGTTCAGTAAAAATTTTAAAAGCAATTTCATAATAATCTCAGTTTTTCGAACAATTGTAAAAACGAAATCATTTCGGTTTCTAAACTTGGTTAGTCATATGTACAGAAGTTTACATAGGAAAATTCATTCTAAAAATACCAGGAAAAATTTTTTCATGTTAAATTCAGACTATGTTTTCAGAAACCGTTCAAAACTGTCAGTGTTTTACAGGTTTTCTTAAGGCGTAAAACAAAATTTTATCTTGACAAAACGTTTCTATTTAAAATGTGTTACTTTTATGTTCGAGATTAGTCATTATATAAAATGAACAATTTAAGGACATGAATGTAACAAAAAAAACTTTTAATAATAATATTGGAATTACCGTTTTTAATAGTAATTTAAAAAATAACTTTAAACTACACAAAAATTCTATATAATTGCTTCTAAGTTAATTTTACACACAATATTGATCTTTATATAAATCATAAAATATTATAACGACAGTATTCTGTAATGTCGCGGTCATATAGCAACTTTAGATTTACCGCTAGATGGCGATCGCGGCGCTTCCTTTTTACGTCCAGCTGGTCGCACCATGCAAGATGGACAACGGGCAGCATGAACCGATGATCATGATGCCGGTCTTGTTAATAATTCACTATGATTTCATCTTTTCCATGACTTTTGGAAAAAAGGCCACTTTCGAGTACTTTTGCCTTGTGTTAAACTCTTGGTGTACGGACTGTATATATTTACTTATCTTGCAAATGCTTTAAAATATAATTTTTGTTTAGCACCTATGACTTGTAGTAGTTCATTAGTAAAACACCAATTAATTACCTCAATTACAACAATATTAAAACTTAAACGAATTTTTTAGCCTAAATTGTTAAACCCTAAATTGAGATTTAAAGCTGCTATCATGGTGATGATTTCCAATATTGAATGGTTGAAGGATGAACAATTGAATCACACGCCTATTCATTTAATGGAAGTTACAACAGACAAAACATTGGATACTGCACTAGAATTAACAATTTTTGTAATATCCAACAATAAATTTTATTTTTAATAATTTTCATGTCCAATTATTTCAGCACAAACTCACGTTAGTCAGGCCGCGGGAACTTAGGACATCCTATGAAATCGAATCAATTGTTCGAGTACTTGGCACAGGATTTAAATTTTTTGAACTATTATCTCAGGTAACTTTGTATTCAAATTTGATTTTTAATTTTGTTTAGCCATGTAAGGTTTAATTATCGCAATTTACTTTTAAAACTAAATAATTTCGATAAATTCTNCGAGTACTTGGCACAGGATTTAAATTTTTTGAACTATTATCTCAGGTAACTTTGTATTCAAATTTGATTTTTAATTTTGTTTAACCATGTAAGGTTTAATTATCGCAATTTACTTTTAAAACTAAATAATTTCGATAAATTTATTAAACTAAAGAATAAACACTTTTTTATTAAATTGAAATATACATCTCTTCTAATTTAATATTATAAACTCACGTGTATTTTTAGGAAAAAATAATAGGTTTAATGATGAAAGCTACATACAAATGTTTTGGTCCGAATCGATTCATTTTAAAGCAAGATCATAAACCACAAAATATGTATTATATAGTTAAAGGACAATTAATTCTTTTAAAAAACATATACAATGAAGTATTAAATAAAATTGAATCTATTGAAGTGTGTAAGCTAAACGAAGGTGACACTTTTGGAGAAAATGCTGTTATGTTTGATACACCAAGAAAAACTTCAGTAAAATCCTTAAGTACGTTTTTAACTTGTAGATAAATACAAAAATTAAGAATTTATTTGTACAGCAATTAACTTTATATTATAAATTGAATAAATTTTAGAATTTATTTGAGGTCCAAAATTTTTTAATCTAACTAGTATAAAATTGACGCAGTAATAAAATATTTTATACTGATTACAATTTAGTTTCTTTAAAAAATACGAAAAACTGGTTGACATTTTATAAAATGAATAATTTTTGTTCAATTTTAGTAAAAAATGATCACTAAGTATTATGAAAATACATAAAAATGTTTAATAATTTCTAAATGAGTACCCGAAATTAATATTTGAATGATAATAAATATTTTCATTGCAGTAATTGTTCTTTTTATTGAGAAGGATATTTATTGATCGTAGTTCATGATTAAAATAATTCATTATTATTGTATAGCTACTGTGGAATTAATTTGTATATCGCAAGATGACTACATTGAAACGCTAAAGTACGACGTTTTACTCGAATGGGAAGCTAATGCAAATATCATAAAAAGTTCAGAATTCTTTAGATATTTAAATTCAGAACAAGTAAATAGAGCTAGCGCTTTATCATTTATCAAAACTTATCAACCGGGAGATCACGTCGTTGGTAAGAAAATGTCTTATCTACTTTGTTTATAGTTGGTATTACAATGAAATAGGTAATATAATTACAATGAAATAGGTAATATAATATTAGCAAGAATATTGACTTAACTCGAAAAAACACAAAGTTTACAGAGGAAGTAATATAAAATAGACAAACCTAAACGATTTATTTAAATACTAATTTTTCACAATAATTTTTAGAGAAAAATATTATAACTATATTAATAAAAATGTTTTTTCCTAAAGTTCAATTTTTTTCATAAATAATGATGTAAAAATCAGAAAAATACAAAAATTTAACTTGTGTTATTATATTTGCTAATAGAAAAAATATAATTTATAAATCCAATGATTATATAGAATGTGTCACGATGTGTCTGAAAATTTGTCATAGAATAATATATGGGATTTGTCAGAACATCGAGAAGCAACCTATATGTGGACATAAATTATATTTTATAGTTAACTGCCTAAATTCGTTTAAAATATTTTAGGAGACAAGCTTGGTAACATTGATTATGGCCACTTTATGATTGAAGGAAAGGTTAACATGATAGAACGATTAATATTGTTAAGATCACCTAATCGGTACGGGCAGAACTTTACATACAAATTATATGATGGCAAGAGTACATTGAAAAAAAACCAAAGTTTGGTAGATAAATTCATGAAAGTGTGTGATTTCTTAGGAAATTCGTGTTTTAATATAGGTATGATATAAAAACAAATATTTTTATTTGAAATGGAGTATCAGAACAACAAAAACAACATCAACTTCAAATTCGAAAATTCTCCTAAAATATATTTTAACAATAGCGCGGTTTTAAATGTTTACAACGGCGTATTCATTCATTTAAGATTATGATTATTTCCACTTTCATTTTATTTCAAAAAAGTTAAGTTTTATATACAGATATGCTAGCAATAACAATATTTTAACACAAAAAGATATTATTTTCTAATTGAAATTTATTTTTTATTTTTAAGTCTTATAAGAAAATTGATATTTAAAAATAACCACATGAATTCTTCTATGCAATTTAAAGATCAAAATATTACAATTATTAGTTACTTCATTATTCTTTATAAAACGATAATTTAAATTTATGCAATACATCGCTTAATGAAAGAAGAAAAACATACGATCCTTAATCATTGAAAAAGTAATTAATTTAAGTTTCTTACACGCTAACTAATTACAATGCATAACAAATTTAACAAAAAAAAAATTTATAAAAAAGTTAAGATTGTGCAGAAATTAAAAATTTTAATGAGGAATTTTAATTGAAATATTCTTTAATATTATTAGTATTCTTTAATATGATAATTTGAATATTTTTCCTAAAAATCTGTCCAAACAAATAACATTTTAACTCTTCCCTCTAACATAAAGAATCAAATAATAATAGTAATTAAATTGATAAAAGAATTCTTCAACTGTCATTTTATAAAGATATTTCACTTAATCAAAATTATAAAATAAATTATCAAATAAAAAGTATCTATATATTAATTTAAAAAATTAAGTTTCATCGTTCTTATAAAAGAACTTAATACGAAAACTAAAAGTTTTGCTATCAACAACAAAACTTTTAATACGTACATTACCAACATAGAATAGTTCAATAATTACTATAAGATTATTAAAGGTTCTAATTTTAAAACTAGTCCATTGTTTTTTGAACTTTTAACACGCTTCTAAATCTTTATTTAAGTTCATTATTTAACAATAGTTGCAACATTATAATGTTTTTAAGTAAAATTTACTTAACAACTATACTATATACGATCTATGAAATAATTATGTAATTGAATTTACAGTGTTGAACTTTTCTAAGGACATTTCGTGGCTTAAACTATATTGACTTATAAATAGTCAATATTTAAATAAATTTGGTATAACAGTAGAGACCACTATTAATATCACCACCAGATAAATTATTTAACAATTAAAAAAAAAACTATTTAATTAATCTTAAAAAAAATGTTTACTGATTATCAACTTATTTCACAAAAAGCGTATTTCTATTTACTTACAATGGTAAATTTTCTATATTTTTTTTTTTTGGTATTAATAAAATAAACAAATAATTGATAGATATTCAAAAATATTTTCGAAATCGAAACTTTCAAGCAATTTTTACTTTTAAATATAGTAATTAAGTTAAGTTTTTATATAAATTCAGTCTTTAATGTATTATAAATAATTGTTATTTTTATGATGTATTAAATTATAATTTTTTTAGGAGAATGTATTACAAATAAAGACTTTATAGCTGACAAACAAACATTAGTCAAATGCCTTTGTGTCCCTAAATGGTATATGTATGAAACAGAAATATTAAAATGGTGGGAAAGAACTCGAATAGATATTGAACATGTTGTTCCTAACACCAATGTTGTTTTTCAATATTTTATAGCTGGTAGATTACATACATCTCAATTAAATGATTTAATAACCAAAAAACGGAAGAAAAGTGAAAATCATTTAAAAGCAAAAAACTCCATGCTACCTACATCATGCTTATTACTGCCTAGTAATGCAAATTGGTTAGACAAACATATGAATCTTTAAAAAAAAATTAGTGTTTTTAATCATAATAAACTTAGTAACAAATAAATATTTTAATCTTTAAAAATATTTGTAACTGATGATTAAATTAACAAATTGAGCATCATTAATCGAACATTATAAATATTTATGTTACCATTATATTTTTAATGAGAACAGTTAATTCCAAATTAATTTATTAATGTTCTCTTTTAATGATCACGTATAATTGAAGTAGTTTATTTTTTAAATTTATAACATCTAAATAGAAGATCTAGAAGTCCTATGAGTCTTCTTAGGTTCACTACTGATATTTTTAAGATTTCTTCAACTAATTACTCTCTTGAAAAGACTAACAAATAAAAATATCTATATGTTTGAATCAGTATAACAAAAGCTTGATAAATACAGTTTTAACCACAATTTTAACTTCTAGTAAATATTTGATTCACCGGAAGTTAATATTCAATTATATTAAATATTTTTAGAAATATAAACGAAATACTTTTGAGTTATTGTACATTGAAATTATTATTTAATTCTCATAAAATTTTCACTTAAATAAATAATAATGTCAAAATATTTTTCAAAAAAACACTTCACATGAATTCAAAAAATATTAAAAATAAATATTTGGTGTTAGGGCCAAAGAGTATAAGCGTAAAATTATAACTTTTAGAAAAATGAAATGAAACTTATAGCTTAAATTTAATTAATATTTAATCCTACTTTTCACACGTAAAAACATATATAAATTTTTTTTTTTTTATATTTTATCAAACTTTCAATTTTCTTTTTCCAAAATTATCAATTTACACTTATCCTCTTTTGTCTGAATACCACAAAAATATAACATACGTGTTAAAAAATTTCATTACATGGAAAAATCTTCTATGTGATATCATAAATTAGCAATAATTGATTAATAAAAATTGATATCGTAATGATTCTTATATAAATAATTTTTTTGTATTTCCTGAAAAATCAAGGTTTATTATACACACAGAAAAATTTTGTCCTTAAACATCAATTTTTAATTCAAAAGCTAGGTAAGTGTTGCACTGAAAAATAACATAAAATAACATTTTTATTTCATATGCAAATCTCTAAGTTTAAAAGACTGATAATTAGAGCCTGGATTAAAGGCATTTATAAATATTATAAAGTTATTCAGAACACATTATTAGACAGTAAATTTTTTTATTAATTAACTTAAACACCTAGTAATGTGTTATTACCGAGGTTATAATTCTGGAAGGATTAGGGAGGTTAATCTACTCCTCAAACGAAAAATATTTCTTAGCTTCTCTATTACCCTATAACAAAGTGTACAAATTTAGGACCAGTCAAAGTGGCCCAAACAAAATTTATATATGCATATAATTTGAGACTCATCATAATAATATTAAAAAATGAACAAGTTAATAAATTTCAGCTTCACTGAAATTTTATTTATTATTAGATTATAAAAAATAGTGATACAATTTATATTTTTTGTTATTTCACAAAATTTTATTTACAAAAATATAATATTAACTAATGTATAAGTATCAAAATTAAACTGTTAGGAGACAATGCATTCAGAAGTAATATTATTACCTTTGATATTATCGCTAAATATTTCTTTTGATTTATTAATTTATAAACTCTAATATAATTATATAATATTAGTATACTATACATAGTTAAATCACCCTAACAATTCAATGAAAATTTCCAGTTGTCACTTAATATAGCTTTCAAGTAACCAATGAAAAATTTGATTGAAAAAGTTCTTAATTTTTAAACCTAATAACTAGTTAGTCAAAATAATTAATTTTTTGACTTAAAAAATAAATGAGTTACTAATAGGTGTACTCGTTATCAAATACAGTGAGAATATCAAATTTTGATATTTATATATTTGAAATTTGCAAGTTGTCAGAAGAAGATAAAAAGAAGCATAATTTTAAATAAAAAGTAATATAGCCAAATTTTCCTAAAAAATAAAAACGAATAAATTTAATTTAATAAAATAAATAAATTAGATTAACATATCACAGTAATTTAAATAGAATTCGTTTTAGTAATTTTTTCTTTAGGAACATATAAAATTAATAAACCTAACAAGTGAAAAAATATAAATTGATCTATCAGTTTGAATAGAAACTTTTTGTAACGAGTACACATAAAAAGTAAAAATCTAAAATACTGATTAGTTTGGCACTTTAACGCAACTTATTTTTAACTTCTAAGCTAAGTTTTTGATAATAAGAATTTTATAGAAATTAATAACACTGATGAAAAATATTAGCTGACCATAATAAAAAGGCTTATACAAATAGTTCTACAAGTTAAATCCTTATATCAATAACTAAGACGTTAATGATTAGAAAATATTAGTGAATTAATTAAAAATATTATTCGTAAATATATAACAGTAATATTGCTTAAATAATGAGCTATGATCATCAGACTGATATTTATAATTTAAATTCATTTCTGAAAATAGTTGCGAATATTTATTATCTGAATATTATTAAGACATAACTAAAAAACAACTTCTATTGCACTTAACCAGCTCAATTGCTTTGACGCAAACATGAAATATAATGCATAATGGTATTAATTATCCATTAAAAATATAAACTATTTAAACGTGAAACTGATAATGCCAAGGACGTTGTCATAAGACAAAATTAGTAAAAGAGAAGAAAGTGTTTAGTAGTCGAATTATTTGTAAGTAGTTTCGATATCGTCTGAATCTTGGTACCAATTTTCTTTTGATCCTGTACCACCAAAAACTCGACGACTGCTACTGCTGAATGTTGAAAACTGTTGATGACCAGATGAAGATGTAGCAGTCCTCTCGGTATGGTGACGATTACCTGGCATACCTCTGAAGGAAGAACGTGGTGTATGTTCAGGACTACTAAGATCACCATCATCATATGACCGAATACGTACTCCCCAATTCTCAGTAAACTCCGAAGCTGAACGAGCCAATGAAGGTTGGCTAAGTGATCGCACTAAACTTCCGGCATCGTCATCTGCATAATAAGAAGATCCACGTCTTGGATAGTTATATACAGAACTAACATCACTGTAGTTGTCTGGCATATCCGGTCGCCTGAAATCCACAGTCATTTCACTCATCGATCTATAAACAAAATATTTTAAATTAAATTATTACAATACTAATTTTGTTACACACATTATTTTTATATTTAATCAAAATATAAATTAAAATTATATAGTTTTACAAAACAACAAGCTATTTATATTTTTAGATAATTTACAGTAAAAAAAAAAAAACAAATTCAGATTACATTTAATGCATTTCATTCAAAATTATAAAAATATAAAATTTTATTTAATGATAATAAATATTATTATCGTAATTATAAAACAAAATATCGATCGCTTAATTTGTATAATTATTTTGTAAAAGTGATTGCAATGTTTTTACATGATCACCTTCATATTAAAAATCATATAAATAACTTTAAATATTTTATTATGAAATTAAAGTTAAAGATATTTAATAAATGTTTGAAATTATTTTCCATTCATCTAAATAAATATGCCATTATATTATAGTTTTATATTTAAAGCACTTAGGACTGAAGGTATGTTAACGACTCCGTCAAACGATTATTTCACTTTTAATTATAATTTTATCATATTTTTTTCCAAAATGTTAAAGTGATATATTTACTCTTTTATCTCTGGATGCCTCATTCTTATTTTAAAAATTTTAGTCACGTAGACTTGCTAAAGAGTAAAAAATTTTAAGTTTTTGTTTTGTTTTATTATATCTCAATAGCTAATAGTATGAACAAAAAATTAATTTTAAATAATTCCTAAAATTTACCTGACATCCATATCAGATTTAAAACTTGATCTTGAAGTTCTTCTAGATCTAGCTTGTCCAAAGTGATTAGGATCGTCACCTGCTGTCAAAGTTCTAACACTTGAGCCATCTGAATCATACTCATATAATGTTGGCAATGAATTACGTCTTGTTCTAGCACCTTCAAATTCTGTCTTCTTTTTAGTGTATCTACTCGAAGAGACAGCAGACTTTTGATCATAGTGTTGAGGTGGTGCTAACACACGAATTATAACATCCCACTTTTCAGGTTCAAATATTCGCTCGTATCTTGGATCACTTCGAATGCGCTCATAGTCCTCTTTCACAGTAGCTTCAGTTATTAACTTTCTTAGCGTTGACTCAGTTGTAATAATCTGCCTCCATTTACGTTTATCTTCTAACGTTAATGTTTGCTCGACTCGGTACCTTGCATTAGGTTCAGGTTCTAACACTTTAACCAATGATTCCCAATTATTTGGTTTAGGTACTGGAACTTCTAAAGTACTTAAATAGCTTTGATATTCTTCATTAGACATATATGATTGAATTCTTGATTGCCTATCTATACCAGTAGTTGGGTAACCTACTACAGAAGAAGCCTCAGAGTAACTGTCCCAATCAGTTGCTGTATCTTCGCCAGATTGAGGATACTGAGCTTCAGGATTTGGATAGTTCTTAATAGTCACATCCCAATTACCTAGAGGTGGTAATAGTTTGGGTTTATATTCCACAACTTCCCTTCTATGTCGTTCCACATCTTCAATTGTTTTTTTCTCCGTAATAGTTTTCAAAAACACATCATCAACTGTATGAGAAGTGATTTCTGGTCTCTTAGTTGGAACCACCGGAGGTTCAACTATTTCTACTTGCATTTCACTCATGTATTTTGATGTTTCAGTATGTATTTTTGGTTTGATTTTTGGTGGTGGCGGTGGTGGAGATTTCTTTCGTTTTTCCATCTCCACTGTTTCCTCAGTTCTATACCATTCTGTTTCATCTCTATCTTTACGTACTACAGTTGAGTAAACAGGTGGTGTTTGGGCCTTTGGTGGTGGGCTAAATCTATATTGCTCTTCAACTACACTCATAGAAGTTTCATCTTTTTCCAAAATAGTCGTTAAATTGCGTTCAAGAGCCGATATACTAACTTCAGACTCAGAAGGTGGTGGAGTTGGACTTGGCGTAGGTGGAGGAGCTCGCTTAACTCTAAGTTGTACATCAAACTTGGGCTGTACAGGAGGTGGAGGTGGTAATTCATGTTGATATTTTTCCGAATAATATTCTTGTGTAAATGCACGATTTTCGTATGATCCTCCCGAACTAAGTCTCAAACTTCTGCCGTCTACGTCTTCTGCTTCAGATTGACCTGAACTAGGAGATTCTGATGGGTAATCACTTGGTAATGTATCACCAGCACTAACCAAAGCCATTTCTGAACCAGACGAACTATCTAATGTTGGAGCACGAGCTCGAGGTATTTTAAGACCATCAAACATAGATAAACTAGAATCAGACAATTTATCAGACGCAACAGATGACAGTGGATGTCTCCGAACGACTTGAACACGTTGATTACGTAAGCAGTAATATGAACATCCAAGACCCAATAGTACTAAAGACAAAAATAGTATTCCACAAATTATCAATAAAATTTGGAATCCTTTTAGTGGTGCTTCGACTGGAGTAGACGGTAAAACAACACTAAAATATTTAAAAAAAAAATGTATTTTTATTTAAATATAAAGTTTTAATTATTTTACTTTCAACACTTACATTTTGTTAGGAATACCAGCAGGTGGCGGGGCAAAAGGTGGAGGATATCTACATACAATTGTTACTACTTCATCTCCGTCCATTTCCAAAAAAGGATGAAACCTGACCACAATATTATTCGTGAATACTCTTTGCGGATCCTGCAATAGTAAAACATAATCATAAAAATTAATTCTCAAGAACACACGATTAAAACGACATATAAATGCAACTCCACTTACTTGTTTTGTACCACATCCTTTCAATGGTAAATCGATTCTAGCAGTGTTGTTACCTTTTCCGGTCACAGTGCACGCACTACTTCGGTCAAAATCAGCATATGCTCTTCCATAAAATGGTTCTTCAAACTTCAGTTCAATCTGAATTTGATTTTAAAATTTTTAATTTTAAAATGTAATAATTTATTATTACATATTATAAGTTATATAAATAATTTAATTTACTAACCTGCATGTAGCCGGCTGCGCAATTTAAAGCCGCTTTAGTTCTGTTCAAAAATATAACGGGGGATAATTCATCAAGCTTTGTAACTTTGCCATCTAACACTGTAGACTCTGGCAAACCTTTTTCAGGACTTGGATATGCAATACTATTCTCGATTTGATCATAATTTGATTGTGCTACAACTGCTACCGTAAGTAAAAATAACAGCCACAACGCTCTTTTGATTATCATTGTTATTCTAAATATTGAAATAAAAATTATTATTATAATGTTATTCAATATATATATTTAATATTCTACTCTTATAATTTAATTTTTATTGTTATTTATTTATTTATTTGATTATTAAAGAAAACTGAATTACATAAATTTAGCATATGATTTACGGTCGAGTTCTTCTATAGTTATGTGTATAAGTAGGTACATAACTGGTAGGATAATTACGAAGAAATAGTTGAGAATCATTAATAAGTATTATTTCTAAAATTTTTAGACAATCAATTTTGTTATTGAGTAAATTATAAATTCAATTTATACCTAAACATTGTATTCTGTATAACAAAGAGTCCATTTTTAGACTATTCAGAAGAACTTCATGGTTAATCCCATTTTTATTAAATTTATATGATAATGAGGTAAATAAAAGAGGCGAAAAAATGCCTACGTAAAAATATCCAAGATATAGCATCAGTAGTAGAAATTACATTATCAATTTTTACTATTTATTTTTTGTCACTAAGATATGACGAAAACCAATCTATCATCCGATCATAAACTGCCATAGAACTTAAATTACTAATTAATATGGTCAACACTATCAAAGGCTTTTTTAAAGTCAGTGTAGAAGACATCTACCCGACCGTATTAGGAAACAATAGCAATTAAATCAGTATAGTAGACAAGTAAATTAGTTACTTTAGATTTAAAAGTTCTAAAACCATGTTGATTTTTTACTAGTATGGGGCTAAAACTATAGTAATATTTTGATACTAACAATTTTTCGAATATTTTTAGTATGACACTCAATTTTGTTATCAATCTATATTTCCGTAGGTTTGATCTAATTTCAGACCTAAAAATAGGATACACATAACTGGGTTTCCAACTCTTAAGAAAAAACCAGACGAAAGAGATAAAAATTAATGGCAGTGGATTGAATGAGTAAGGGAGTAACAGCGGTTTAAAAAAAAAATCTCAAGCCCTACTGTAGTATTAATTTGCAAAATCGATAGACCGTCTAAAAATTCAGTAATTGTGAGAAAACAATTCTTTATACCAATGTATTCAGATATTATATAAAAGACCCTTTAGTAATATTACTAGAAGCTGAGTAAACTGAACAAATTTCCCTTTTAACAATTTTTTATATAAGACCAAAAGAATTTAGGATTGGACCTTAAATTATTTTTTTTTTTTAATTAAATAGTAATTTTAATTTTTGAGAATTAAATTTTCTTTAAATAATATTAATTGAGTTGAATCTTGTCATAATAGTATGGAGAAGTCATCGAGTAAAACTTAACTCATAAAACGTAATCAGAATTTCGTTAAAGTTAGGTAGTAAATAACTACCTTATTATAACCCTACTATAACAAAAAAGTTATATCTAATACTTAAATTCATATGGGCAATAATTTTTTATTATGATCAAGAAAAGTGTCTTATTTAAAAATAAATCTACTCATTTACTTCAAGGCTAATTTTTAAGAAAATCATCTCCTTATAGAAAGAGTAAAAAAATTGGATATTAACTTGCACATTTTGAGCACGTCCAAGGATTCTTATATGTATATAATTTTAGCTCAACTAAATACTGAATGAACATTTAAATTGACGCTATTTTACGATAATTCGAACACAATATTCACGACTAAATCGTATTGGACACGCGCGTGTATTGTATGAATACTGCCATGAAGAAATTGTATGTTTTCTTAGCCCATCTTATTTGTATTCGATTCTTTTTTTTTTTAGTTCATCAAAATGTTTATAGCTTTTAAGTATTTTCTACATAGTTAATTATTTCATTGCCAAGAAAAATCAAAGTGAACATAATTTACAAGGACGTTACTTATAAATGAAAATTTAAAAAATTTTGCAACGTCGTATGAGTAACTACTAACCGGAAGATGACTAAAACGAAAATTACCACAGACAACGAGCATTAGTAATAAATTATCAATACACAATGCATTTAAAATTACTATGTAAATCAGAATTTTGCGTTTTTATATTTCATTTTATTTTTAATTTTGACGAATTTTTAAAATCAGACTTAAGAAAATAATCAATTTCATAATATTTTTGAGTTTTCATAAGGATATTTTACAGTTAATATTTTTATATACTTATTTAAAGTGTACTCTAAAACAAAGATTGTTGGTAAGGTTACGATATGCTGGTAGTTACAAGGTTACATCATGTGAGTGACCTAAGTATCCAATATCTTATTCAAATGGATTCATCCACGATGTGGCAATATTACAATTTTATAATAATAGTAACCATAAAGTTAATAATATCAGTTTTATAATTGTATAACAAAGCTATATGACCCTGGGATCATCCTTCGAGGTCTATAACGTTACAGTTAATCTTAACTAAATGATCAGGTGTGCTCTAAAACCATGGTTTGTGTTTTCCAAGAAAAAACAATTAGTAAATTATTTAATTTAGTGATTTAAAGTATAAACTAAACCAAAATAAATAAAAAAAAAAAATACATATAAATGTTCAATATTTAATTAAAAAAATTAGTAAGAATAAAAATTAAAATTTCAGCATAACATAAAATATTCTACTATATTTTCAATGTCAATTGAAAATTCATGACAATTTTCAATCTCATGTATGTTCTCTTTTAATTTTTTTTAAGATGCATTTTTGACAATAATCGTATTTTAACGACAAAAAATAAAGCATTAAATGTATTTTTTTAGGCAAAGCAGCTAAACGAAGGACATTATTTTTTTTTTCTTATGTAATAATATGTTTAAATTTGGTGATTTGGATCAGGTTTCATAAAATCTATAATTAATATGCACTACTGAAATTACTGTACTTCAATAAGATATGTTTGACCTACCAAATGGTCATTTTATTGAGAATAGTTTAATAAACTAATTAGAATAACTTTTTTCCATATTTAAGACATATATTTTAAAAACAATGTATCTTTCAATGGACAAGTCATTGACTCAAGGTCCAAAATAAGAAGTAGAATGTAAAAAATAAAAGATGCTGTTTTTTCGTTAACGAATTCATGTCACATTTTATACAAACTACGCTACATAAGGACATGTAAATATCTTATAGTATCAATTGCGTAACTTAAGCTGTTAGATTAGATAATTTTTTGATATGTGAATTTAAAAAATGTTATTTTATTAGACTCATGAGAAAATCTTGAAATTTATTCGAAAATAAAACAAACAAAAATATGTAAAATCTTTATAAAAATTCTTAAAATAAAATCATTAAACGCACTTTTTGAAAATCACAAAAAGTAAATCGGTTGTTAAAGATTTGGAACATCTTAGAATGATTGATATTTCTCCATTATCGACATTTATCGATCATGCAATATTAAATCTAATGGCAAAGACAATCTCAAGTAACGAACGGCATAAAACATTGTCATTCGCGTGGCTTCTCAAACAAGAACAGTACCTAACGAATTTCAATTGAGAAAATAACATTTCCTATATTTCTCAAGTAAAAAAAAAGTTATTCATGACAACTTACGAGGTTTTCCTGTGTTATTACAGCTGCATGCACGACTTATGACCCTACTGACAGAAACTCAAAACCGATCACTATATCATAGAGCGTCATTATTATACACCGATTAAGAGGGAATAATCAAAAAGAGGAAATAGCAATTGGTTTCGGTCAAATTCAGTGCAGTACTCGAATACATTTAATACAAAAAGAATTTCCAATGGTCGGATGCGGTCATGGGTCAATAAAAATAAATGAAGAGAGGCCGTTATAAACGCTTGTAGAATGCTAATAGAGCGTCAATTGAGAGGTTTATCCCAGTATAAAACAAAAGAAAATTACATAAAAAATAACAGAAAATTCTTACCTATCCAGCTGCTTTATCTTTACTATAATGTAACACTACACATAGCACGCTCTGTAATAAAGCAATAGACAGCATGTGTATGCCTTGTTTCTGCCAATATAATATTACATATTACAGCACATAGTGTACTCGACTAACCCAGTGTACAGGTACACCAACAACATTTGATAATTTTATGGTACCGTTAAAGTCTCTGAAGGACCAGTCACGAACGCACGAGGTGAGTTTTTTAGTACGTGAGTGCAATGAGTCGGCCTGATAATGGTTCAAAGTTCGACGGATACCATGCTGAGTGTTCATATTTTATGTGCACTCGCACGAATATCGATCACTTCAACAATAATATTTTCGGTTAATCGATCATCGGATTCGAGATTGAGTAGCCAAGACAAAACGTATAGATCATTATGGAACCGTATTCTTGTCCAATTTTCTAATACCCGTTACAAAATAATGTTTATTTTCATCTTGTTGTTATTTATTTGGTACAGCTACTACTAATTAAAATAATAAATCATACTTATTCTTAATTTTGATATGATATATTAGTTTAATTTTTTATATGAAGATTTAAAAAATCCAAGCTATCCAACATTAATTTTTAATTTAGTTCAAAAATAATATCCAAGACATATCAAAATATTTCGTATCATCAGACTTCAAATTCAGATGACTTTTTATTGATTACAATTTATATTTAAATTTTATAAGTGGATTGCATTTTTTTACAATTTATATAATAAAACATTTACAAAATAGCATTCAGTGTACTTTAGCATGCGATTTAAAAATATGTTTCTTCATAAATGTGTACTTAAAAATAAAATAATAGATAAACAATAAAATAGTTATATAGCTGATGTCTAAAGTCAATGGTTTGATTATTATTATTCCTACCTCTCGAGGATATTTGTGATAGACTTACAGTTTTTACCATTTATATGTCGTTAAATAATAATGATGTTTTTATTATTTTTAAATTTCTACGAAAAATAATTTCCAGTGTAAAACCCTTCTGTAAGTATAAAACGCCATTTTAGATATAATAAAAATTATATCTTTTATTTCTAAGAATTCTCTTAACTGAATACTTTTTAATTTATTTATATAAAAACCAAAAATGTATAATAAACCTACAGAATATTATGAT